CGCTTCCCAAAGTCCAGAGCTGCTTAAAGCGCCTGCTACGCTTGCGTAACCATTCGGATACTTAGCGAGGGGGAGTGTTGAACAGGCGCTGGTTTACACAGCTTGCCTAACACAGCCGTCACAAGATATGGAACGGCACAGCCGGTTACTGCAATAACCGAGGCTGTACTACTCATGTGGTACACACACAGCTTCGCTGTGTACGCACTGCTTCTCTGTGCGACTGTGCATCCTGGGAATGTACTGTATAGTACTACGTAGCCACAGATGTACAGTAGTATATATAGGGGACCTCTGTACCCCCAATCTATAGTTCAGTTCACTCGAACATCTCCTCTCATCGCTCTAACAAGCCTCTTACAACCAACAACCCTTCTAGGTGAGTTGCAGGCTATCCGCTGTTGTTGCCACCCGTGGGAGAGGCCTTCGCCCCCCGGGTTCAACAATGGGCACTATCCTTTGATATTTATGTTCGCCAACAGAGCGCACTCTCCTACCCCAATTACTTTTTCCCCAGTATTCGTGGCGACCTCCTGAGTGGCAATCCTAGTGTCACATACCGACCCCGCCTCCGCGTAGTGAGCGGCTTGATGGGCGCCGTGTTCTCCTTGTTGGCGGGCTCAGTCAGAAGTTGCATCCCCTTCTTCTCCAGCTGGTTGTATTTCTCAACCATTCTGTCAAAGGCCCTGCCTACTGCGTTGCACACCTCAGCGAGTTTCTCATTGCTGAGTGGAAACTGAGTAGAGTCAGAGCCGAACAATGTTGGCGGATGGCTGCTACTGCACGAAGATCACCCTGAGTAAAACTGTGGGTCCAGTGAACAGAGTACATACCTGCTTCTGTGTATATCTTGGTTTTCATTTTCAGGCTCCGTCTGGACTCCCCGGTCTACCTTCTCCCTCAAGCAGTGGGTTCGGAGAGCGCTTGCGATCCTTTCCTTATCGTATCGCAACGGCAACCTTGGAGAGACAGACCGCTCTGGAGGCTGGCTGAATGATTCTCTGTCATTGGTAATTGTGGTTGCGGACGAAGCTCCTGGGATAGAATCGAGTTCTGGTGGAGATGACTCCCTAGCAGGGATGGTGAGGGTGCTACCCAAGCTGTGGGTAGCTGGCGAAATGGAGTTGGGGGATGAGGAGTTGCCAGCAATGGTGCCAAAAGTATGTGAAGTAACGTAGTCTTTGAGCCTCCATTTCAGAGGAATAGAAGTAGAGGCCGCCATCGGAATGTTGATAATGGAGGGACGTGGTTTGGGTGAGAGATGGTTAGGGCGCTAAGCCGGGGGGGGATTTGTTGGTCCAATTCGGGGTGTGGGAACGGGCATTACAAACGACCCCAATTTGTGCAATACAACAATGGCGTTCAATCTCTGGGAATACAGTTTGCCCCAATCAACTGTTGTCATCCATATATTTATATTCGAAGAAAGGATATACACAAATGGTCACGTTTCATCACTATCCGTGCTTCCATCCTGGGTCGACCAGCTCCGAGTAAAGCTGTATGGAGCGAGCACCTTCAACAGAGGTACGCTAATGCGTTAAACCTTAAGTCCGCGCATCTGGTAGCCAAAACTCTCTTAACGTGAGACTGCGGATGTGTAAGACTCATATATGCACACACCTATAGATAGCAATACTGAGATAGGACTCTACGACTCTCGCGTGAACTGGACATATTCATCGTCAACCAAGCGAACTGTTACACCATGAATTGGGATCTACAAGGTGCAAAGTGTTCGTGCTGGCAGTAGAACTGAGAGGTACGTGTACTAAGCAATACACTAACAGGGACCTGAATGATGCCTTCGGTTGTCGTCTTGTCTCAAGAATCCTTTGGCAGCAAGCTGATCGAGGACCACAGCGCTGCCTTTGAAAGTACATGGTGATCCAGATCCTCTGTATTCGCCGCGAGGCTCTCCTCTGAGAATTACCTCGACTTTCAGCATCCATTCGGGTGCGCATATATTCTGACTCTCGGACAGAAGGGTAGATCTGCGAGAATATAGGAGCCTCCACAGCTGATACCGTCTATCTCAAGCCACGATCATGCGAAGCTGGGGCACGCTCAATATCCACTTTGTGAAGTGATTGGTGACATCGCTAAGAACCGGCCATGCAGAAGATATCAAGATGCGATCAAAGACTATGTCGCGCTTTGACAGGCGTGGATGATGTCGCGCTTTGACAGGCGTGGATGATTATGGTTGATCGTGTTGTGCATCTTTCATCCAGTACGGTACCGCAGACCTTCATCATCTTCATGTTGCCTTGGTACCCTTGG